GTTAACTCAAGATGAGAAGTTTGTCTCTATCACTCATCATTATGTGCCGGATATTAGCAAAGAATTTCTTAAATGTTGGGCGCTCATTCTTTAGGAATACATTTTGTCCATTACCCACTCACCCGCAGCGTTTCTGGCAATTCAAATCGAGCTGCGCTACTCAACCACAGCCGAAAATATGTTCATTTTCTACATCTGCAGCCCATTTTCAGTTTTCCATTGTCTGACAGGACCACACCCACCGCCCATCGCCTAACGCCCACAAAAACACTCATACGCCCCATAGGAGGCGTCGTCGTAACATCTCTTTTTCCATCTTTTCTTTCCGCGTGTGCGTTTTTCTTTTTTCCTGCAGTTACAAATTATGCTCATATAAATTTTTATAAAACATTTCTGCCGTTGCCATTTTATTTTATGTTTCTTTTTGTTACAACTGCGTCTCACACCCAGCCCACACACATACACATGCCCAGGGAAAAGTAGGCAACGAACGCCTTTTCAGTTCAGTTCCTTTCAGCTTGCCCAGTTTTTCCGTTGGGTCTGTCTGCTGCAAAAATGAAGAGCAATTCACACTTGAAAAGTTCCAACATGCGTTTTTAAGTTGCCCCAAACAACTATTATGCGGATCCTTCCCTTTTGCCACCAGAGTGTGTTTTTTTTTTTTTTGGGCCAGCTGAACCTCTGAATATTAAGCGAAATGTGTGGGAATATGACGCAGTTCTCGGGACCATAAAAAAGGGTTCGGTGGGCCTCTTGTGCCTGTTTATTTGCCTAAGCTGACTAATTTAATATGCATAAATGCCGGCACATGTTTCATAAATAGCATTTTAAAGCGGCACCCTGGCCGAAAATGGCTTCATTATCCAAACCCAACTCTGAACTAATGGTTCCCAGACCAACCCAAAAAGTTAATGTATTGCTATTAGTGCTCTCACTAGGTTTGGGATTAACTTTTTGGAAATTCCTCATTTTTCAAAGCCTTTATTGATTTTATATAATCTACTCTACCAAAAATGTTAAAATCTGTTTGCAAAAATAAGTGTATTAAACTTAATCGTTTTCACAAATCTGCAGAAACATTTGTGCAAATGGATATGTCAACGAAATTTAAAGCACACAAGTAGAACTTATTCAATGGTCTTTTTCGATTTGCCTAAAATGTTTTTTCCGCAAAATATTTCTGGCATTAAAACAGCCGCTGATTGTGTGATGCATACATGTGTACATACACTTCCGGTTTGTGCAGTCGACGACAAATGTACTTCCGGTTGTGCAGCAGTTGCAAAAAACTGTTGCATGCTTTTGTGCGCACTCCGAGATTTGCCAACCAACAATGAACCCGAAATTAAATGTCATAATTAAACTGGCAGCCGTCATGGCAAATGGCAAATGGAAAAATGGCGAAAAAGCAACTGTGGTAGTCGGAAAATTGTCAAAACGCTGGCGATAAGCCGCAGTCTGACAGTTAGACGCCGGCCAGACAACAGCTGCTTAAACTCTTTGCCACACTGTGTGCATTACCCATTCCGGGAGTCCTGGAATCCGCCCCGCCATCAGTTCGGCACTGAGACAATAGACAACAGCCCCCCCCGAGATCTCATTCCGACCTAGTCGCCAGCTTGTGGCTGTCATTTTTATCTCTGGCCCATTGTCACTCGTACAATGGAGACAGAAATTTGTGCCTTCATTATCATTTCGGCTACTACGTACCCCAGGTCCTCAAAATGTCCTCCTTTAAATTGATTTGTCTTCTCGCTCGGCACGTAGTCTCCCCTCTTCCCTCTTCCCTTTCCCCTCTCACTCGCATTCGCACTCCAGCAGGCAATTTGCATTTTGTCGCGTTTGAATTGCGCGGCACGTTGTTGCCTATTTGAATTATGTCAATAGAATTGCGTCTTCAATAAATGTCAATAGGCAAAGGCGATTGATGAAAGACGAAATTTACAGCACCGCCGCAAAGTAGGCAACAGTTTTTATTTGTTTTTTTTTCAGGGAAATGATTGAAGTGTGGGGAAAATATAATAACAAATTCACTGACAATAGCCGGTATTTGGGATCTTGATTTTGATTGAAAATATTAAAGAACAGTGTAAATTAAAAAATAGACCTGCTTAGACCGCAATAGCTTTTCTGTTTGTCCATATCGGACTTCTCAATCACTATTGAAACACAATAAAATGTGTTGTACAAGCCAAAGGAAAACAAAGCCAAGCAGGAGCAGGAAAAAAAGACGTAAAAGCTCATTGCTTGCACTGGTTTTCACAAACTAAAGCTACACAAAGCCATGCGAAAAAATAACAAAAGCTGGAGAACATAGATTGATCAAGAGTGTGTGAAGGCAAAAGTAAAGGTAACAAAAATCATAAAGTGCCATGTAAGTGCACATCCATAAGCTGTAATATGCAAACCACTTTCAACGTTGGTTTTCCGTTTTCATTTTCCAGCAAAGGTAAACGATTTCTCCGCCCAATGAATTCAATGTGGAGAGCCAGCCAAAACTTAAAGCCTTGCGAGCTGAGTTTTAATAGTTTTTTAGGTGCTCAGCGAGTCGGTTTACATGCCATCATCTCTTACCGTCAAAATCCCCGCTTGGCAGTCAACGTTTTGCCCTCATTGCCTGCTTAACGTTTAACGGCGCACTTTGACCACCCAAATGGCAATACGACAACATGCTTACAGCGCTCTACGGCGGAGTAGGAGTAATAAAACGAAATTATAAAATAATATTAACAATCCAGCAGCAACATTTAGAGCCGGACACGGAGCCAACAAAGTGTGTAAAGTGTAGCCAGCTGAGTGAAACACAAAGAAGGGTAGAACGAAACAAAAATGGTATGGAATGGCATTTTACATTTATGGTTATGTGGGTGCAGCTACACATGTATATGCACTCTGTACATATGTACATGTCCAGCTTATGGGCTAAACTGCAACAAATGGGGGGTGGGGAGCTGCACACTGGTTGCACTAAAAGTGCACGTGTAATTAAGGTCAGCATCGTCGTCCAGCTAATTGGCGGAGCTGTAAAGCGAAGGGGCCTTGCAACTTTGTTGGTCATAACTAAATTTGTTTGTTTGCCTGCCTAGGGCTCTATACCGAAACCCTTTACCCTGGCATCCTGCTAGTCCATATCCCATATCCCATAGTCCAAACCGCAAAAAGCTTTTAATCCAGCCGGCTTCTGGACAGGCAGCGTCGTAAAGCCTTATCATAATCTCCATGACCAGGGGGACGCATAAAGCCTATTCGACTGGCGGGAAAAATGGAAGGAGCTGCGAACTAACGTCTATATCCTTGCATAACCAATAAAAATGGCCAATTTAAAACTTGTTACTGTGGAAACATAACCTTGGAAATGGACAGACCACTTATAGTCGAACTAATTTAAGTTTAAGGAGACTTCTGATAAGTTCTCTCAAAGATTTTACATTTTAATTGAATTCTATTTATCCTTAACATACCCTTCCAGCCTTGACCTATTTATAGGATATACCGCATTCCATTCACTAAGCATTTACCCACATTTTCAGCATAACTCTTAATGACATATATCTCACTTTGCTGTCCTTCACATCCGAGTAAATTCTCTTATGAAAATACCCACAGAAACATGGTGTCTATTACTCACGAAAAGCCACAAGTCCGCACAAAAAAGGCAGGAACAACTTTTATAATAAAATTATTTGTTTGGGCTGAGAAGTAGACAACTTTTCAGCCATACATTTCATTTGTGCGAAATGTCACTCAGGGGCATACTTTGGCCAAAACAACAAGCAGCCAAAACGAATGTTTGGCAAATTCTCAGCTTTGTAGTAGACCTTTGAGTGCTCAGTGCTGGCTTCTTTCAGGATTCCGCCTTGTCAATGCCGGGCTCCACAATTAAACACTTGCCGGCAGGCTAAACATTTGCATTTAAATAAAAATGCATTGGATTTTGTTGGCGCTTTTCATTAGCCATTGCTCTTCTTTGGCCCCCAGGATCCTTCTGCTTGCCTGTTTGTCTGTTTGGCTGCCTGGCGCCCAAAGTGACTTTCAATGTAAACGTCAGAGCTTTGTGCTGTTGACATTTGTGCGCCGCCAGACGACAACGTCACAACATCCTCCACGACGCAGACGACGGCAACAATTTGCGATAAACATCTCAGCGGCATGCAAATCCCTTTTAGGAATTGCACAGGAGAGCACTCCAACTAAAGAGCTGCGGGCGGAGGAGGAAAAACTGGGACGAACTAGGGGTGTGGCACTGCAGCAAAAGGTCTTTGCTGGCAGCCAAGAATTAACCATCAAGCATTCCTGCAATTCAATGCGTTCCCTTATCAGGCTGAAAGCAAGGGATAAGCCTTAGCTCAGATTAGTGGCAGTACTGAAGGTCTCCAATCAATCAACATAATTGGTACGCTCCTTAAAAAAAATCATAACAATCACTCGTTCAATCATATTACAATTTCAATTACAAAATTTAAAGATACTTTTAACCTTAAAACTTACCTAGGAATAAACATTTGAGGCTACCATTTAACTTAAGTTCTGAAATATTCGTATTTGTATTTGTTTTAAATACGCTAGATACCAATAAATTAAATTTTGTGTTCACGCAAATAGGCCAATAAAAATAGCATAATTTCATTGCAACTTGAAGATAAGAAAATTCCACAGCATATGTATGTTTTAATGATAGTTCTTTTAACATGTTTATAGAAACTAAAGCGCATACAAAATATAATGATTGAACTGCAGCTTCGAGTAGAACCCGTTGACCTCAAATGGATTTTGTTTTAAAACAATTATTTGAATATGTATTTTTCACCTTTTTTGTACCTTTTACCTTACCTGAAATTAGAGAGTATATTGAAAACGCTTTTAAAAGTTATTTAAAATAAGTAGAAAAGCTTTGAAAAATACTTTTGGTATTACTTATTTTTGTCATTCATAAAATAGCCAGAAATGAATCTCAAATATGATTTTGACAAAGATGGATAAAAGAAAATCAAAGGCTCAAATTGTTGATGCTGAAGGATCCGTATTTTATGAACGAAACCATAAACAAAGTATGAATGGTAATACATGCGAGTCACTTTGTGTACGCATACTTTCACCGCAGATTTGGGGCATCCACCCGGTCTAGATCTAGATTTCCTTGGCTACCACACCATGTTAGTGGTTCATTTTGCGCCAATAGGCCCAGACGTCGCAGAGGTTGACCTTCTTCTCGCACTCGCACGGCGGAATGGGGTCGAGCAGACCGATCTTGATGCACTCGGAGAAGCTGGGATACTGGGTGCGCCGCTTCTTGCAGCAGGACGGGATTCGACCCGCGTCGCAGGAGGGCGGATTGCGGGCCTTGGGGCATCCGGGCACGGTGATCTTGCAGCAGGGCCACTCGCCGATCCGCGGCACATCGATCAGCTTTTCGGGCTTCTGGCGTACGTTGCCCGGTGGATTGAGGTCCTCGTCGCGGCACTGGAACACCTCCGTTTCAACGCAGCGCAGGTCCCGCCGCGGTCGATTCGGGTACTTCTTCTTCGCCTGGACCGCCGCCTTGGGAATCATGTAGCACTCGCACCAGGTGCGCTGGTAGTGGCGCTTCGCCTTGTCACTCGGCGTGTAGTTCTCCAGGTCCATGGGGATCTCGAAGTCGGTGCAGGGATCGTCGACGCACTCCTTCGCGGGCAGCTTGAGGCGCGGCTGGTTGCAGCGGTTATCGGAGCGACGCACCGCCTTGTAGCACGGGGCTATGTCGTTCTTCTTGATGGCCAAACGCCGCTTCCGGATCGCGAGCCTCGTCTTGACGTCGTACATCCGCTTGATCGTCAACGGTCCCACTTGACGCTGCAGCAGCAGCAACCGGTGAACGTTTTGCAACACCCCCATCCTCACTGAATTTTTACTGGAATTTTGAACGGAAACCAAAACGGAAGCCTTGAACAGACGGGGCAGAGGTGTTCCACGTGTACACTGCTTGAACTGTGGGATGTGAATGAGCCGGACACCAAGTGAAAGTCCGCACGCAAGCTGGAATTTTGTCTCAAAGCCTACTTTGGGGTGTGCCTTCTTTGATTTAGCAAAATTTTAGAGCACTTAATTTTTTTTGAAATTGAAAAATTTTATGGGCTATGTTTGCTTAAAAAGTGTCTAAACCTGTTTGGTTTTTTTGTTTTATTTGCAGTTAAGTTGGAATATTTCTTTTAAAAGGCGTAAAGGTATTTAAGTTGAAATATCAGCTGCTTTCATATAAGAATTTATCTTGATTTCGATCCATTGGCTTTCAGGTATTTTTGCTCAAATATCGTAGACACCTGTTTGATTTTTTTGGTGTTTTTGAAGTATGAGCTGTTCGCAAATCAGAATTGATCTTTTTTTATATTTATTGGCTTTGAAGCATTTGCTGAAGTATTTTTAATCAAAAGGCGTAAATAAGAGTTTGATTTGTTGGTGTTGTATACATTTATTATTTATAATATTTGACAATCCGAACTGATCTCCAAAATAAATAAAATCGAGTGAAGATGCGTTAATATAATAGGGTAAAATTAGCGTTCCCCTCAAATCCCAAAACCAATAAAGCAAGAATTTTTTTAAGTGATCAAGCGGCCATATTTATTTCACCAAAATTTCGAAACTCGCCAAATGGGACTGTTGATTTGTGTGCCGGAAACAAAGGCACCTAGAGAGGAGCAAGTGCGTCCGTCTCGCTGTGGCCACCGAATCCACCGAATCGGGTTAACGCTTTACGATTCGCAGGGGTCTCGGCTCTCTGGTCGCTGGCAGGGAAGGCGGATGTTGAGCAGACCCCGTCGGTAGACCAGGCACATGGGCGGCACCTCCAGGCAGCGGCACTCGACGGGCCTGCCCACGTTGAGCTCCTCGTGCTGGCACTCTGAGAAGCTGGGATACTGGCACGAGCGCCGGCGGCAGCGCTTCCTCCGGGCAGTGACCTTGCAGTTGGTCTTGGCGGCTGGTGGCGGACATCCGCAGAGCGAGAACTTGGGGCAGGGCCCCTCCTTGGCCTCCTGCTTGCAGGGCATGGGATTGACCATGAAGCACTGCTTCCGTTTGGGAACGGCGGCGCACTTGTTGTAGATGACGCGCTGGGTGCGCTCCGGCGGCACCTTCTTGCAGCAGCGCTTCTGCTTGCGGAAGAAGCACTCCACCCAGTACTGATCGAAGTCGCGGTCCAAACTCTTGCTGGGCTTGTAGTACTTGTCGTCCAGTCGCTCGACCAGATCGCAGGGATCCTGGCAATGGGGCTCCGGTAAGTAGGGGATGTCGCACCTGCCGTAGACACCCAGGTACTTTGGGTGCTGCACGGCCAGCTCCTTGTCCGTCTTGCAGGGATTGAGCTGTTTGTAGTACTTCGGCACAATGTTATTGATTGGCACGCATTCCGCCTTCAGGGCGTTTGAAGGGACAAACTTGACGCACTTCTTCGCCTCCTCCGCCTTCTTCTTGCTTTGGCACTTCCTCGTTGGCCCCTGCTCCGCATCCTCATCCGCATCCGTGTGTCTTTGACGTTGGTTAACCAGCGTTATGGCCGAGAATTGTGCCCTAATTAGCTCCTTCGCCCCATTGAACAGGTGCTGCGAACGGAGGGCTGTGGAATTTTTAACCAGAAACATTACTAGACGGAGTGTTCGGATTGGAGCCGGTACTGAGGCAATTTGGGAGAGACGAAATTTAGGTCGTTCCAGGCGAACGTTCTACTCTGATCTGACCCGTCCCCTGGACACTTCTCTAAAAGTGAAAGGAAACCTAACCCAAGGCCCCCGTTGATGGGCTCTATTTTATTTTTATTTCTGACATACGAATTTCATGTGATATTTGAGTGCCTTTCTCGGAAGCTGTCGCGAATTGAACTCTTTCCGGGCCACGAACCAAATGGCTTTTCCGTGTTTATTCTGATGTTAATTGCGAACGGATTCGATGCCAGCGTATTGCTCTGTTGTCTTGCTTGCCGGCATACAATAATAAAGAAAAAATAGACATGGCGCAACCTTCATTTCACGATTTTTTTTCCCCAACTTGTTTGCAAGTTAAATGCAAACAGAGCGCAGCCAGCCAAACGAAAAAAGCCTTCTCCCTGCCCCCTCTCCATTCAAAAAAAAAAAAAAAAAAGGGAAAAGGAATCCCCCTTTGAAAAACAACAGAAATCCACTAGAATAAGTATGCGCAGCGTTGGCCGCTGCCTGCTGTTCTCGGGGCACTTTTCGCTTTTACGCCGATATTTTCATTGGAGTCGCCGCGAGAGAGGCCATGCATGAGGACCCCCCATAAAATTGGGTCAATTGCTGTTAACAATTTGGCAGCGCAATCTTTTGGCCGTTTCGATTTCAAGGCGCTCAGGGTAAAAAAAGCGAAATAGGAAAACAAAGCGGCCCATAAAAAACGAGCACGTGCGAGCGAACCTTTTGAAAAAAACAATTTCCGCATAGAGTTGTTGGCCGGAAAAATAGCCGCTGCAATCGCAGCTGACCCACGGGAAAAATCCTCTGGGCTGGAAAACTCAAGTGGATGGTGCAAAGTTCGCTGGTTCACTCATTAATTAGTGAATTTTGTTTGTTATTCATTTCTGCGAGAACATTTCCAGCAGGGCTCCTGCTTAGTTCAACTTTGCTGTGTTGTTTCATAAAGGATAACTTCGGGGCCCAGAATTCAACAGTTGAGCTGGGCTTCACTTTCCATTTAATCAACTGGGGAAACAGTCGACCCCAATACTTTGAGTGTCTGCCAATAAAGTTACTCTGCCCTTAAAGCTGAGATGCACTTTGCCACCATGCCAAACGCTTGCTGGAAACTCAGACGACTACGGAATGATTTCATTTACTTGCAATCAATGAAATTGCACTGATGCAATTTTGTTTTGGCCCCCCAAAAGTAAACAGGCGAGCGGGTGGATTCGAGTCGAATGAGTGGGAACTTGCAAGGAACTGGCAAAAGTAACAGTTGCAGCTAGGAAACTTCTGAGGGCGGGGGTCACCAACTGTCTGTCACGCTTGCCTGCCATCTATGGCAGCCAAGGCAGCCATGGCAGCATTTGGTAACCAGCAGCCAGTAGCCAGCAGCCAGTAGCCAGGAGCAGCTAATGTCTGGCGACCGTCCCCCAATCCCACGAAGCCCCATGAATTCCCCTCGTCGCTGGGGATTCTCATATCGCAGCCAGACACGTAGCCAGCCAATGTGGATTGGGTTCGGGACGCAGAGAGATTTGTGAAAGATGTCAGGAACACGCTGCGACAGAGTCGAAAAATGAGCAGGAATCGTAGGCGGAGGTGAGTGTGTGAGTGTGTCCGCCCCTCCCTCCAGTCGTCCTCACCACAACCCCTTTCTTTCAAGCTTGTCCAGCAGCGAAACGCCTTCGGATGGAGAGCAGAATGTGAATGACCATACCAGATTGAGGTCACGATCCATAGAGCAGGAGCTCTACGCAAATCACTCTGGGACCCAGGAAACTCAAATGGTCGATGTGGCAGTCGGCTCATCATTCACGTCCCTAAGTCAGTCTCACTGGACTGCAGGAGACCCATCTCCTGATCCGACCAAATTTACTCTTCAAAACGTTCCTCATATCCTTGTGGAGGCAACAAACGAAGACAAGAAAAGAGTTACATACACAGACGCAACGTCTACACCTATTGAACCCATATCCGAAGTGCCGTTAGTGGAACCCACTTACGACAAAGCTCCTTCTCCTGCCAGGGACAACAAATCCCTTTCTGTCAAAGTGTCCTCTTCGGAGTCATCAGATGTTCCCATCAGCTTGCAACAGTCTTCCTTTGCAGATGACCCTGCGCGTCAGTTTGCCTCCATTAATGAGGTCATCTCCTTGCAGAGATCACACAGCTCCACGGAACAATACGACCGGGAAGAGCCACTTATCACCAAGACTCAAAAATTCTATAAAAAGAGTAAGTTAGCAAGGTAATTCCAAGTACTTTTTAATATGATTTAGTTCATTTAGTCCATAGAAGAAATATTAATACCGTTTTAGTACTTAATATCTAAATTCTTAAAAAATAAGACTTCTTCTTAACATATTGATAGAACCAATATCATAGATTAAACTATTTAAACAAAAATACTTTTTAACGAGGTTGAAATTGTCATGACGATCGCTCCTATAACATACAAAATTTCTAATATTAAGTTTTGTGACGAAAAATTATTAAACATTCGACTTAATAAATACACTTTTTAAATTTTATCATTCGGACCGAATACAGGAGCCCCATTGGTCCCGAGGTACGACTCGGAGGATTCGTTTGCCATTGAGAAGGAAGTTATTCAACAGGAGGCCCCATCCGCAGTCAGTGCGGGCTACACGATGGACGAAACGGAATCGCCGGGATCGTTTAGCGAATTCGATGCTGAAAGGCGCAGGAGCAGCGACCTTTGGGATGCAGCGAGTAGGAGTTTCATTTCCAAGGAGTCCTTCAACCTGAGCCGTAGACGACTAGGCTCCGGTATGGTTTTTGTAAGTGAGTGGGTAGCATATATGCAGTGGTGAGCCCATAACCCACTTGGTCCGTCCCCAGATCTATATGGTGATTCCACCGGATGGCGGCTTCGGCTGGGTGATCATGGTGCTCTCCTTCCTCGCCCAGCTGATCGTCGATGGTCTGATCTTCACCGTGGGCATCTTACTGCCATTTATAGCCAAAGATCTGGGCGTGGAGAGGACGTCGGTGTTGTTCGTGGCCAGTGTCCAGATTGGTTGCTACTTCACGAGTGGAACTTTTGCCGCGGCGTTAATAAATCGCTTCGGCTTTCGGAAGGTTGGCATTACGGGAGTCCTGTGTTCGTCAACCGCCATCATGGCCTCCAGCTGCAGCGTCAACCTGACCATGCTGATCTGCTTCTACAGTGTCCTAGGTAGGTTGACTTTCAATGGTATTCCCATGGAAGATGAATAAGAACCCCAGTCACCGCCACCCAGTGCAGGTGGCATCACGTTGAGCATGATCTGGGCCAGCTCGCAGCTGATCGTGGGCTACTACTTCGAGCGGTATCGTCCGATGGCCAACGGATTCTCCTGCAGCGGCGGCGGCCTTGGGATAGTGCTCTTCACGTTCCTCAATAGCTGGCTGGTGCCCATCATCGGCTGGCGGAACATGCTTCGGGTGCAGGGCGGTCTGGTCCTCTTGATCCTGCTGATAGTCACCTTCTACGTGGAGGTGGCTCCCACACAGGTGGGCCTGTACCATCGCCCGGACGTGTTGGACTCCAGTTCGGATGAGTATTACGGCAACTTCTACGTGCACGACTATCTGCGTCTATCCAACCATACCAATGGGATCCACAGTTTCCTCAGCTCGTATGAGCCGCCTCCCAAGAAGCGACGGTGCGCCAGCCTATGCTCCTGCTGCACCAACTGTTGTGGAAAGAGGCGCAAGAAGGCGGAAAACGATGAGGATCACGATCTGCTCATCCGTCCGGCACCTTTGGAACGGGAGGATCTCTTCTACACAGGACCAGCCGAGTACGAGAAGCCTCACAGCAAGGAGCACCTCGAGGGCAAGGAGTTCCACCTTATGGGATCGGATAAGAACGTGAGTGTTTTCCGTACAAGTCAGCCCTTTTAAAGGAACCCCGCCCCCTTTTCGCCCATAGACCCAGCAAGTGAATTATGGTATAAAAAAAATTCACGTAGACGAGGCCGATCCAGCTGCCACCGCCAGTCATCATAGAGATCAGAGATGGGCCAAAGGGCCGCCAAAGAAACAGAATGCTATGAAATATAGGAAAAGCCGGTTTATGGTCACCCTAGTGAAGCTTTTCGACTATCATCTGCTGAAAAAGTTCGAGTTCCGGGTGCTGGTCGCTTCCGCCCTTCTTTTTCCGATGGGCTTCAATGTTCCCTTCGTTTACTCGAGTTCGCGCACCAAGATTCCCGTCGAATATGCTCGGTTAATTGGCCCCATTATCGGTATTACCAACTTTTTGATGCGGAATGTTTGTGGCTTTCTCGCCTATAAACGGAAGACCTGGACTACCTACATCTGTGGTTGCGGCTTGGTTTTTGGTGGATCCTTTGTATTTATAAGCGCTTTTTATGGTCAGGACCTGGTTTGGTTCCAGGTTCTCTACGGCGTTTGCTATGGTGTGGCCCCAGGTTGGTACATTTTTAATTTGTTCTTACCTTAAAAAGATTTAATTTACCTCGCTTGAAATACAAATTATACGAATTTCCGTGTTTAGCATCAATTGATTTCAAAAAGTAAAAAACTGTAGCCAACCAATACTAATCACACTTTGTGCCTAATTGCTTTCCCACTATTAGCTGTTTTTGCCACCCTGCGAGGACTTATTTATGTGAAATATCTGGGCCTGCCCAAACTGACCAATGCCTTTGGGATTACTTCTTTGGCCATGGGTGCGGGTGCCTTTATTGGCACTACGATTGCCGGAGAAATGATTGGTAATTCGGGAAACTACACTGCTGCCTTCATCTTTGCCGGACTGTGCCTCATGACCGCCGGAATGCTGAAACTGCTGCTGCCCGCGTTGGTGAAGTTTTACTACCGGAAAGCCCATTGAGGAATCGAATAGCTGGAATTGCATTATTTATTGGGTTTCCTCCTTCAAACTGGGGATTTATTTTACAAAATAGCTTACGCTCTTCTTGTTTTCTCATTTAATACATACATAAGTGTTATCGACTACTTTACTGTTTTGGTTGAACCCGTGTTCGAAATTCTAAATAAATGCGTTTATATTACACTTTTGGTAAAAGATTTTCCATGAAGGGTTGATACAAATGATAATTTGGAAATGTTAAACGGTGTTTTAAAGAATATTTAAAGACAATTTCCATTTCCTATCATCATTCTTTGGTGGAACATGACTTTTAAAAGCCCTTTAAAGCCTTGTTGACTGGTAAACCATTGCAGCTACCACAAAATGACACTCTCGAACACATTCGAGTACAAAGTGTGCAGTATTTTGATTATGTCAAGCTGCGATTCTATGTTTTAGATTCTTGGGATTCTTAAACTTTGCCATTTTCAGTTAATTTCGGGAGTTTTCTTTTTGGGGTTGACTTTTATTTCAATCCATTTAAAGTTATTAGTTAGCTTAATTTACATCTAATATTAGCTTAGTTGCTGAACAACACACTTTGGCTCCACGCTTATAGGTTCAAGTGTGTTGTGTTTGGTTTTTCATTTGGTTTTGTTTCCATTTTTCCTTGTTTGGGTATGCAAATGTTCACGCTTCTTGTTTACTTTGATTTGCTTTCTAAACTTTGTACGTCTACTGTTCAATGCTGTTTTTTTTTCCTTTGGTAATATTTTATGATGATTTTTTACATATTATTTAGAGCTAAAGCAACAAAAGAATAAATATAAACCAATGGCAACGCATAAACATAAAATCGTTCGAATCCAATCCATTTTGTCCTCTGTCTAATCTTCTTGTGTTTTAAATATTGTCAGTAGTCTTCCCCATCGTCGCATCTAATTTATTTCACTTTCCATTGATGTCGCTGCAATTGCGGCTCCTTTAAAATCAATTTCGTATGATAATCTAAATTTAAATTAAAATCTCATTTCAGGATGATCCACACTTCTTATGGCCTTGCTGGGCTTTCTTGTTCACACAGAAAAAGCAATTCTTACGCCTTAAATTAAAATTATATTTATATCGCCAGAACCCTCAGCGACGTGGCTCGTTCATGTGTCGGAATCGGACCTGAAATTGAATCGTGAAATATATATTTTAATATCTTTTTTGTATGGTAAGTTATGATGTATAGACAAAAATATTAAAAAAAATAATTTATTAGTTCTGAAAGGTTTTTGTGCGTGTGAAGATAAATTTAAAACTGCTAGTCCATTTTGTAGAAAATCAGAAATACAATTGAAAACAAATATTAAAACTAGATAATACATTTTATTTTTTAATGATATGCAAAAAGCGTATTTAACAAAATGTGAACATTTTGTATAAAAAACAATTAATTTTGTTTTGACACAAAAACAGAATTTAGAATAACGTTTTTTGATAAATTTATTTATGTCCAAATTTCTGACTTTTTTGTAAGGGGGTAGTACATCATCATTTTTTTCAGAAATTGAAAATCTAAAAAAATATTAGCTGTGAATGCCATTCGATTGGAAATTTTATTACAAATTCAACGGTGTATGACCAGCGTTCCCAGGGTTTTGAAACAAAAACCAAGTTTTTAATGTGTTTTTTGGGATTTTTGGCGATTTTTATACCCTTGCAGAGGGTATTATAATTTCAGTCAGAAGTTTACAACTCAGTGAAGGAGACGTTTTCGACCCTTTAAAGTATATATATTCTTGATCAGCATCACTAGTCGATCTAGCCATGTTCGTCTGTCCGTCCATCTTTCCGTCCGTCTGTCCGTCCGTTTCTACATAAACTAGTCCCTTAGTTTTAAAGCTATCTGCATGAAACTTTCCCAAAAGTTGTCTTTCTATTGCAGGTAGTATATAAGTCGGAACGAGCCGGATCGCATGATTGTAGCATATAGCTCCCATAGGATTACGTGGATTACGCCCCCGACTTACCAATTAAAATAGGTCTGTGACCCGTGACAGTTGCGCTCGGTGCCGCACCACTTGGATTGCTGGAGCGCCGGGCAGGGCCGTCCGCCCCTTTTGCCGTGCTTGATGACCTTGCGGTAGCGGTGCATCTCGCCGATGCCGCAGCTCTTGCTGCAGGCCGTCCACTCGGACCAGTGGCTCACGCGGCAGTCGCGACGCCGCTGTGCCGAGCTCCGCCTGCGGGTCGCACCACCCATGGCACCCCCAAACCACCCAACTTGCCACCCGCCGGTGGTGACTGCGGGGCCGTTGGGTTGGAGCCGTTTGAATTGCCAGCATCTGTGGCACGCCGATAGCTGCTGGCGATACTCTGCAGGATCGCATGCTTGTCGTTCTTCGGCACCACGCTGACCACCTGACCAGGTGACGGTTGCAGGCTATTGTTGCTGCTGTAGCTGCAAGTGGAAAAGGTCAACATTTCAATTAGTTTGGTTCAAGAAGCTTGAGTTTATTTACAGAACATAGACTTTATATGGTAAGTCACAACCTGATATTCCCAACTTTTCTGATTTGCCTAAATAGCTTAACTTGCAGACGCTAAAAGACTGTCATTAGTTAAGTTAAGGAAGCTTAGGCTTTCTAGATAGTCCAAACTGAAAAGTTAATCAAAATTAGGTTTTAGGAGAGGTTGAATTCATCACAGCCCTTTTATGTATGGCTTATGACTGTTTCACATTAAATTAATTATTAAAGTAAGACGATAACTACTTTCAGACACTACAAGAATAATAACCTTTGGTTGTTATTCAATTTAAATTTAAATTTAAATAAATCAACTTAAATATGTATGTCTATCGTTTCCCCTTAAAATTTAATAAAAGTTTCTACACTTATTGGAATTAAATTTTTTAAATTTCCACAAGTGTTTCTATTTACAGAGCTCGGACTTTATATGGTAATACCCAACCTGATATTACCTAACTATCTTACTGATTTGCCTTAGTAGCTTAACTTTCAGACGCTAACAGACTGCCACATTACACATACGACCCGTTCGCCTCCATCTGCTCATTTCTGCCAAAAAGGTGTGCACGTTGCCTGCTCACGTTTGTTATTTCAGCACATCAACTGTGGAAAATTTCAATTTAAATTTGCCTTTTGCCAGCCTTCGTGCCGTGTTGCTGGCTGACAGACACAGAGCCGAAAAAGCCCAAAAAGGCCAAAAAGCCCGCCACCCGATACCCGAGTCTCCTGTATTCAGGACTTTTGGCGGACCCACGCGCGAACCACAATCCCCAAATCGACTCCTCCACTCCTCCACTCCTCGACTCTCGCTCCCGAATGTCCTGGAACCACGACGTTTGGCTGTGGCGCTGCCTGGCTTCCTTCCTTCCTGCCTTCCTTCCTGGGCAACTTCCGTGTTTTGTTTCCTGCAGTTTTTCGTTTATTTGCATACACATGCCGCGCGTATGCCGTGTTCAAAATCGCGCAAATAATAATAAAAAATCAAAAGGCAGACGAACAGGCACGGCAACTGATGAGCAGCCAGGAGCCAGGAGGAGTTGGCGGAGCAGCGCAAATAAATTGGCAAAAATATTGAAAGACCCAAGAGAAGGCGCACAGCGCCATGGGCCCAACGAAAATAATGAGGAAAATTCCCAAATTGAAATTACATACAACATTTTCTCCCCTCTGGAAATACCTTTCCCTGCTTTTCACAGAGTTTCTGCCGAGTTTTTACTTCCTGGAAACATGGAAGTTATTAGCGACAATTTGCTTCGATCATGTTCACGGCAATTACTGTTAGATGAGCACATCAAAATGTATTAAGTAAATGTTGTTTCAGCAGCAATTTGCATTTCCACAGCCCAGGAAAATGGCTGTGACTCAGATGTCGGACATGTGACGGGGAAATTGCTTATCAGGCCGAAGCAAATTGGTTTTTCAAATTGAAAAGTGAAAGCCAATTGGCATAAATATATAGTAACTCGGTTTGCTGACGATGCATAATTGACGTGACAATTGTCAGAATTCAATATAATAATTCAATTATAATATTTGACATGACTGCATTCAAGGGGTAAATGATCAGGGGAACACTTAATTACTTTTATTCAGTCGGCGGAAGCATACAATTATGGTTTGAAAATTGCTTTGTTACTTATTTTATATGCACGCTGTTTGGGAAATTATGGCCATCAAGTTCACTAGGCATTGTAGAAATTGTAATTTATTTATAACAAAATGCAAATAAGGCTTAAATCCGATTTAAGCATACAGTTGAAACTATTTTATTTCACTAATTTAAGGGGTATAAAAGTTGTTTATAGATCTATATAAGAGCACAGTTTGTCCCAACGTGAACTTGCATCAGAGAATGGTGCAGCAGAAGACCTCTCCCTGGGGCTGGGCATACACAGTGGCCACTGGCGCTTGGCCACCGACCACAACGGTGGGTCGTGGTGGAGGCATCACCACCACGGGTGGTGGCGGTGGAGCGCCGATGATCACAGCTGGTGGCGGCGGTGGTGCAATCACCACTGGGGGCGGACCAAAACCAATGCCCACGCCCATGGGCGGAGGACGTGGTGGTCCGCCAATGTTGATACCGACATTAACACGAGGTGGCGGTGGTCCGTAGGCGATTCCGGGACCCCTGGCCGGTCCTCCGTATCCACGTCCTGGCGGTGGCATCTCGACCGATGGCTAACAACTGACTGACCAGCACTTTGGGGTCGATTGGCTTCTTGAGTTTTGGTTTTTATCGAGTGTCCGCTGGTAATTTACTATCAATTACTGTGATTTTTTTTTGGGGGGCTTCTGTTTCCGCTGATTAGATATGCGATAGGCGGAGCTCACATTCCCAGGCTGATAAAAGAAACACCAAGTTATTGATAAGATTTCTATTTTATGATATGATATGATAAGCAGGGGTTCTGGCCCTGATTCATGGCCCCCATCACTTGCCTTGGGGAAAGCCCCTGACCTCCGATTTAGCAGATGACGCATTTACAAGGGCAACATTTTCGCTTCGGTGGTTCTGCTGCAATATCTCGTTTCTGGATCGGTGGTGGTTGATTCGATTCCTGTATTCCCTGCTCCTGTTGCTGTTCTTGGTTCAGTGCCGCACTCAAGGAATACCGCTTGCCAAACTTATCGTTACTCTGCTCGGAAACCTCACCCACGAAAACAGTTGTGACGGGTGTGGCAGGTTGTATAATTTCCTCAGTCACTTCTATGACCTCGGTTACTTGCCCATCGTTGGAGGACTCTACAACCACCTCTCTGTCCACCACTTCTACGAACGGAGGATCGTCTATTACCAGATCGGTTAGAACGAAACTGTTAAGTGGTTTTGGTGGTGGCCTTGCAGGTGGTGAGGGAACTGGAGTGACATCCACAGACTCCACAATCACCTCCGTTTGTGTCAGATTCGATGGCGGTATTCTGACTTTCAGAGGTGGACTGGGTGGGGGAGTCGGTGTGGGAGTAACCTCCAGGGACGCCACAATTATAGCCGTTTCCGCTAAGCTTGGCCTAGGAACGAAACCCATCTCAACGGGCCCTTGAATTGAAGGACTTCTTGGTGGAGTAATAACTGGCGTTTCTTCAATTATCTCAACATAAGCTTCATCTTCGCTTAATACTTCCACTTCCATTGCGGGACTGTGTGGAGCGGTATTGTAGGGGGTTACTTCCTCAACCGTCACATAATCATCGACTTCGATTAGGCTTTCTCTGGAAATGAAGGGAAACTGTTCGGGGGGAGGTGATGATGCTGGTGTTACTTCAAGGGACTCTACAACCAGCTCTTGTACCATACTAGAGCGGGGTATGAAATCAGTTGTCACTATCGACCGAAGTAGAGGGTCAGGTCTAACTTGGATCTCTTCCACAATTGTCTCTACAAGGGCTGTCTGAGGCGCACACCCATTTTGAAACACTGACTGTGGGGCCTGTATGATTTCGATGTCCTCCACAGTGTTCTCAACATAGCCTGTCTGAGGGATAATGTCAATTGGCACTGGAGATTGATAGGGTGGATTTTCTTCTACAACTTCTATGTTCTCCACAACCGATTCCACAAAGCCTGAACGAGGAGGAAAACCAATTGGAAGTGGTGGCCGTACTGGAAGTTCATCTTCTTCCGTGACTTCCATATTTTCCACAATCGATTCAACAAATCCGGATCGAGATGGGAAATCTATTTGAATAGGGGATTGAAGAGGAGAGTATACTTCTTCTGTGACTTCTATGTTTTCCACAATCGATTCTACCAATCCTGTTTGCGGGACTAAGTCACTTGGCAAAGCAGACTGGGAAGACTCAACTTCTACAGGGACATCTATACTTTGAACAATAGACTCTACGAATCCAGAACGAGGTAGATATCCACTCTGCACTTTTGGCCTTAACGGAGGATCTACCTCTGTAATTATTTCTATGTTTTCTTCAATTGATTCCCCATTGCCACATTGAGCGGGAAGCAGGAAAGGAGGATCATCTTCTTTAATAACCTCTATGTTTTCCACTATACCTTCCACTGGTATTTGTAAGACAGGTTCGGGGGTTACCACTTCTATATTTTCAACAATTGACTCCACGCAAACTGGCTCAGAGTCAAAGCCATTTGAGGGAAGGAGAAATGGAGAGTCATCAACTGCAATGGTTTCCTGAATCGACTCTTCGGTATCGAAACCATTGGCTGGAAGAAGAAAGGGGGAATCAGCTTCAATGGTTTCCACAATTGACTCCACAACCACATCTCCAGGAACATTAATACTTTGTACAATATTCGGCACAGGAGGATCTTCTTTAACAACTTGTATGTCCTCCATAATCGTCTCAACTTGTCCTGATCGAGGGTAGTAGGCTTTTGGTGCTGGGGTCTGGACAGAAATAGATGCTGCAGCTCCTTCTATATTCTCCACAATTCTAGCCACAAATCCGGGTTGAGGAATGAATTCCGGTTCCTGTTGGATCTGTGCAGGAACGACGAGCTCTACATTCTCCACAATGGTTTCCGTTGGGTTAAGTTGCACTCTGGGAATGTATCCTGTTGGGGGCAGCGAAGGCTCCACTGACTCCACAAAAATATCCGTTTGAACCACTTCGGCAATGGGAGAGAGCGATGGCTGCTGAGCTCCCGGAAAGTATCCCGTCTGCACTTGAAGTTGTGGGGGTGGGTAAGGTGGAGGATCCAATTGGTCTACTATGATTTCTTCTTCCACCACCCTTGTGTGGTTTTTCGACTGCTTTACAGTTTCCTTTGTCTCCGTTTGCCAAACCACAGTTGTGAATTCGTCTGAAGCGGATGTTGTGCCCAAAATCTCCTCTGTCTCCACAACATCCTTCTCCGATGAAAGATCTAAGTCTAAGGAGGGATTTGATGACGGCTGGTTCCAAAAGGCCTGTGGTTCCCAAACCGCATTGAAACCCACCTCTTCGGTGGGCGTAAGAAAGGGCGGTGAAGTATCCGGTAGAGGTGGAGGTGGCGAAGTCTTCTGCCTGTGATGGTGGTGATGCTTTCGCGGCTTTGGTACGTTCTCAACCAGAATCACTTCTTCTCGCTCAACAACCTCAACATTCTCCTGCCGTTCGTGATGATGATGATGATGCCTGTGATGGTGATGATGATGACGGTGACTCGGTGCTGGAGATCCCTCGATGTTGACTATTTCGACGGTCTCCTGGATTGTGCCACTGCTCGTGGCGATCGTTTCTATTGTTTCGTTAACACTTCGCTCCTCAACAATTGTCGTTTTCATGTTGTCGCTTGATTATTCCGTTTCGTTTTCGTTGTGCCCATTAACTGAAACCCCAAATGCTTTGCTCGGCCCATTTATACACGGTGTTTATGTCATGGGAAATGTATTTTCATGCGTTAAATCCTTGTACTGATAAGATAGTTACTATATCTAAGCAATGTGGCAACTATTCGTCTTCGCCCCCGCCGTCTGTGGTTCGGTCTCTGGAAATTGGAAATTCGAAATTGTTAGGGCTTATGTTTGATCGAGTTTTCGACTGCGATTCCCGCCTGCTTACTGGTGGCACTCTTCTGCTGATTTTGGTTCTGGTTCTTGCGTCGATTGCGCTGATTGTTGGCTGCACTGCCGGCGATTACCGTGAAGGTGGCTGGCGGGATTCCGGACATGTTGCTGGCACTTAACTCATTGCCCGATTGCCGGCAATTCCTCTACTTTTATAGGCCACCCGCGACATCGCATTCGATAAGATAGTAATTACTTCGCCACTGGCCCGAGTATTCCGCACATTTGGCAGCCCCATCTGATATCTGGCCCGGTCGCCGGCCTTTGTTTTCGACCCTGTCAGAGTGCCAGGAAAAAAGGGCGAGTCGACAACGCCCACTCCGGCAGGCTCTTGGCACTCGAACACGTCCCGGGCTGGTGGGGATTGTCATTAAATATGCAGGTTACCAGTGCCAATGGTGCCAAAATCCACTCCAGCAGCTTCGGCTTTGGCCAAAAGTGGCACGAAAATAGACAGCGAGCGCAGTAGAGGGGTTGCGGATGTGGATGTGGATGTGGGTGGATAAGTCTTAGACTGGAACTGTTAGCAGGGATTAGTTGTAGTTTGGCCCGACGTCCGGAGTTTCGGGGATCCAAGGATTTGGGGCGGCTTTTTAAAGATGCAGCATTACCCAGGTACGTGCCACTCGGGCCACTCTCCTTCAGCTCTTTAGTTCTTGGGTTCTGCCATCCCCCCCGACGCCTCCAAAGTGGTGTAATGTGCTTTGAAGTGTGCCAGAAAGCTGTTTTCCTTCCACCCACTCGCTTGTTTTTCCAACAGCTCCGGGGCTTGGCACGTTGCTTTAAATATGTGAATGCATATGTACACACAGAGTGTTGAAAGTAGTTGGTCTTGAGTTAGGGGAAAGCACTTTACGCATATGTTAAATAGGGCCAATTGAAGCGCTTTCAGCACTCCAAAGCAGATTACGTATACGAAATGTGGCATTTAAATCTTACTCTTGGCCCAAAACTGTTGTATAGCTAACGGGTCTATATGCCTAATGAAAACTGTTTCTACTTCTTGGATATTTTCAATGGTAGTTCCACTGGTTACTGGTAAGGCAACTCGGCCATATCTATTGATTAATCATTTGTTTTTGTCAATCGATAATTATGAGATAACATTTTTGTTTACACCTGGCTTAACACATTGACACTGTTATTTTTTTTAACCAATTTCAAGGATTAAAACTCGACCTAGAGCTTTCGCAACCTTGAACTGTAGACGTTAAAAACACAGAAATGATAGTTTTTAAAACAATTATTCAATAATGTTCACAGTAATGGGCTAGGTAATTCCCAGCGACCAAAAGAAATTGTTGTCGTTAGGCCAAGTATGACAAATAAGTCTATGAGTATAAATAATATCTTATCTAATTTATCTGTGTGTGACCATTTTTTAAAGCTAGAACTTCCATTTTATACAATGAAATATTGTTTAAATTACTTTTATTTAATTTATGTACTTGCTTTCTAAAAAAGTTTGTCCCTTTATCCTATTAAAAATATGAATAGCCTTTAATTAAGAACTGAAACATATGTCGTATAAAGACAATTGCAGTTACCAAAAGAAAAAGTTTCTCTCACCAAACGCAAGTTTGTTAGCTTTCATTTGCTAGCAAAAATTCGTAGTTTTTTTCCCCGCTATTAAAAGTTTCTCTTTGCTAAATTACATTTCCACAACACTCTGTTCATTTTCATTTTCATTTTCATTTGATTTTTTTCTGTTTATGGCACATTTGCAGCACTTACATGGGATTCATTTTGGCCAACAGCTGGGACCGGATTCGCTGCCTGTCGTCGTCGAACTGCTGCAACTGTTGCTGCTCCGTTTGTCGCTCCCGTTCGATGCTGGCCGACAGCTCGTTGTTCATCTCCACGTGGTTGTGCTCCGCATCAAGGTGGGTCTGGGTCTGGACCGTCTCGTACTTACGATCGTCCTCGGCAATGTTGAACACCTCGCTCAGCTCATACTCCTTCAGCTGTAAATACAGAGTGGAGGGTGCGGAATGTTAGTCCCCGCGTCCAGACACATGTGCAGCATATTAATTTACGGGGATTATGTGCCCGGCATCAGCAACTCTGTATTCCGGAATGCGGAATGCCGAGCAGGGCTACATGGCACCCAAGGACTGGGAGTACAGGTGCTCTTAACGCGCTGCTAATTTCAATTTGTGGCAAATATTGACACAGCCACAGGGGAGCATAGGAGGTGGGGAATGGAAACGAATACTGATGGAATGTGAGGTATTGATTTGGCTTAGGCATCATGTAACTCGTATCAAATATTTGTTAGAAATTAAATACCAGCCCACAGATATAAATTCTAAGTGAAATTCTTCAGAAACTTTAACGATTATCTTAAATATAAGTGTAATAAGTAATATGATAAAATAATTGTCAAAAAGTTTAAATAATAGTCATACCATAGGTAAAAGGTTATACAACTGGCATATTATAGAAAAAAAATCAAAATAAAACTTTACACCCTAACACCACCTCGTACCCAAAAAATACTCCACAGGAATATACCCTACGTTTCAATGACATGTCGAGGGTACGAAAAACTTTGTTTGGTGTGCTGTCGCGCATTTTAATTTATTTGTTTGGGCCGCTGTCATTTTCTATACACAATACGCATTGTTATTGTTGTCCCCTCGCTTTTGGCTGGCTTATCTTGGTCTACCTTTTGGTACCTACTACATTTCGCAAATGCGTCGACAGCGGCGCCAACAACCACAACGAACCAAAAGAATCTAAGGCACTGAAAATACAAACAAAAAATCACGGAAAAAAAGAAAACAATGCAGAAGAGCCGCGTGTTGCTTTTGTGGCATTAAAATACACAATAATCCAGCACACACACATAAAAGCTAGAGCGCGCGGAGTGGGGGGGTTGGAAAAACTGTGAAATTCCTTGTGGATTACCCAGACGGCGAGCGAAACCCTCAGCATTCCTGACTGCCGAGATTACGTGCCTTTTGCCATTCACTAAATGACACACAAGTATTCCAGCAATCCGGTCTCGGCCCCAAAATTTAAGAATTTAATGACCAACTACACCCAGCTGTTGGGCGATTCGGAGGAAGCAAATCAACACATAATTACACTAGAACTAGGAACTGAGACATGTGCTGGCCATAAAATAACGCATTTAAGTAAATAACTTTCCATTCTGTTGGCCATAAACAAAATTCGGCAGCCTTGGGTGTTGTGGACAATAACAAAAAGGCTGAGTTTTAGTTTCACAAATGCAAATTTTGATTGCCCTGGGGATGTGGCTTGATAGATAGCTTTAAAGAATCAAACATTCTAAATTAATTAATATGATTTAATTAGAACTCGGTCTTAAATGGATTTTATGGATCATTAAAATACAAAATAAAGTTCGAAAAAGGACTTTTTAATTAATAATTTTTAAACAAAACAATTAAAAGCCAAATTATGTATAAAAATTGATTGAAATTCATTTTTCAAGAATCATACGTTTACTTTTCTACTTTTATTTTTAAACAAAGATATTGTTTTTCAAGAATCAAGATTCATAGGTCAAATGCCATAATCTAGCTAAAGTGCCCAACAAAAAACGCCCACAAACGGAATATAAGTTCTGGCACGCCCACTCCGAAAAGCCTAGAAAATAAAACTAAAATTAGTAGTGTCAAAAAGGCGTTACAATAATACGAGTTGCAGCAACAACAGCACAGAGCTCGACCAACAAATAAAGAATAATGACCGCACGTACAGTGGCCAGCCACGCCCACCCGCCCATGTCCACATAGTAATTCCCCGCTATATATATAAACTGCCCCTATGAAATAAACTATGCAAACGTAGTCGAAACATCTGGCGATGGGCGAAAGGGGGGACGAGGACGGTCGGGGGAAATGGACGTAGAGCCCGAGGCATAAATTTTATGTGCGCTTCCTTTGGCCACACATAAAAGCAATTTTGATGAGCGACCCAAGGCATTGTAGCCGTAAGTGCGCCACTTTCTGGATGTCTTGGATGTCCAGCAATATAATTACAATGCTCGAATTCCAACCGTCCTGCTCAGTCTTCCTCAGTCTTTATCCTTATCCTTAACTTTATCCCTATTTCGCTCTACTGGGGCGTTTTTACTGCCGTCGAGGGTGCTTTGTTGCACTGCCGGGCGGCGGTGGAGGTCCTGCCTGTGTCCTTTGTGTCTGGCAGGCCTAATGGATTGGCATTTATTAAGGAGTGCAGAAAAATGTTTATTGCAGCGCTTGAAAACAATGGTAAATACGTTTGTGTTCCTATAAGGATAATGCATAACGTGTTTCAGTGTGCTAAGTGAAAATATTTTCTTAGGGATTTAAGCAACTAAAATGCGAACTAAATCAATTGGAAATCATTTCTCTATGTTAAATCGCTGCACATGTTTTGAGGTAATTGAAAAATATCACTAATAAAAATTGTATGTTTATATAGATGTTAAATAATTATTAATTTTAACGATGAGTTTGTTTTTTGCTTAGGGTATTTTACTATACATTTTAAAGTCGACACACCATTTTCATTTTATTTCCTTTAATTTAACTTTCATGTACATACTTTAATTCAATGCACTTTCGAATTTTCAAAACAAGATACAGCCAATAACTATAACAATAATAATAAATTAATAAATTTAAAGAAAATTCAATAACTTCCTATTGGACAAAAATTAGCCTAACTCTATTATGAAAACGATATTAAAATGCTAATTATTTCCATTACTGAGTTTTCTAATATCATAATAAAATTAAACAACCATTTTCAAAAGAATTATTAATGTTATTGAATTTGCGTTAGTTTCCATAAATGACAATTTGAATTCCGTTAATTATAATTCAATAACAATTTGCAAAAGTTTTGCACACGATGTTAAAACACCCCCGAATGTATGCTAAAAATGATGTAAATATCAAACTGCTTTAATTTGTTTACATTTCCTCTTAACACATTTTTGCACGGCCATAAAATTCTGGCCCAAATAATTATAAGGTAATTAGCATTATTTCCGGTACTTTTTTTCGTTGCCCATTTTTGTATTCGTGCGTTCTTTTCTGCTCGATTTAAGCTGCGAAACTGAACTGATTTATAAAGCGCATTAACACGCAGCCAAGGGAATTTGCCCTTTACACGCACACCCTCTCACACACACACAGGGAAACACGCACAACCATTACACATGTTTGCATGGCAAGGAAAATGGCTGGTTTGTTTATGTGTGTGCGAGTGTGGTAGATGCTGTTGACGCCATTGTAATGCTAATGGCTCATTAGCACTTTGATTTTTTCGCTCTGAATTCCTTTTTTTTGTTTTTGGAAAAAGTCATTAGGGTTTTTCGACTGGATGTGGAAGTGGTGGGAAAAAGGCATTTTGACTGCTAATTTGCTGTTAATTAACTTGTTTAACCATTTTTTTTTCCAGATGGCAGGATCGTCCACTCACCTTGATAAACTGAAACGTGGCGATGGGCGGCAATCGCTTGCTCTTCGGATAATAAAAGCTACCCGCAGGATGGGCAGGATAACGGGAGGTGATCCGATAGATGACGCCCTGAGGTGCTGTTGGCCAGTTGGGCGCCGTGAAGGTGAAGCCATTATCCGTGCCCGCATCCAAAGGATCCAGCTCAACGGTCACCGTATCGATCCAGGAGCCACCCACGCAGAGCTAAAGCAAATGTTAGAAAGTGTTAAGTGCATTCTTTTCTACAAAGACAAACATAAACTAAAAGTTTTACATCAATTAAAAGACTTTCTGACACTGATTCTGTTTGTATTTCATCATTTACATTCCAACAAATTGTTGATTAATAAAAGCGATATGATGTACAGTATAAAGGACAACCAAAAATGTTGCTTGTTCAAAGAGACTGTGCCCTCAAGCTTTAATACCTAAATTTTTTAAATAAATTGAAATTGCAAGTAAATTTTATTATTATTAAATAAAGTGAGTCAATTAAAATATCCAATAATAAATTGAATAATTTTTACTAATAAAGGGAAAATAATACCCTTTGTGAAATATACATTTGTACATGAGTTATCCAGGCCATTAATTTATTAACTACTAGATTGATGGCTAACAAAACCATTTTAAAGTGTGCTTTTATTACGCAGAAAACACGGAGAGCTCATGTTGTTTATTAACTTAATAGATTTTTTGAATTAATCAATATTAAATAAATTTGTAAAACTCTTTCAAAATGGTCTTAATAAGAGTTAAGAAGAATCGGTGAATTTTAGTGGGCAAAAGATAAACTGTAGAGAAACCAACACAAATGGCTTTTTGTAATCAAAGTTTAACATAAGTAGAAAAGAACATAAAATAAGTTAGAAATAAGAAGTAAGGTTGAAATTTAGTGTGCAAAATATAAATTAAAATAATAGTTGCCCCAAACAAAGTTGTGGCAAAACCACAACCTAATGAATATTATTTTGATCCAATAAACCTATACAACCGTTTAAGATTTGTTTGAGTGTCACCACTCTCTAATAGCATTTCAGTGTGCCTATTGAGATTAGGTGTGTGCCTATTGATTCTTGGTCTCCATGCAGTTTCAACACTGTGATTTTCCTGATTTCGGGCCTTATGTGTGTGGGTTCTGCTCTCACCTCGAAAGAGTCGACGCCGATGAACCAGTCCGGCGAGGGAACAATGCGTGTCATTAGCGAGACCAGACTGTGATTGCTGTCGACAAACACTTTCGCCTCGCTGCGTCCGGCGCCCAATGGAATCGCCGGCATGCTGAACTCGTCGAACACACTGCGTTCGGTGCTGGTGCTGGTAGTGGTGCTGGTGGTCCCACCATTGGTGGCTGGCGATGTGGTGTTGGTGGAGCTTGTACCACCTGGAGGGGATTTGCCCGTCTGCATCTGCATCTGCTGCTGCTGCTGCTCGCCGGCACTGCTGTCCAGCAGATCGGTTCGACCCGACTCCGCAAACTGTTTGACAGCCGCCGTCGCCGGCTGTCCGATGTGGTACAGGGCATAGTTGGCATTGTGGGTGCGACCTGCGGGCGAAAGGAACCAGAACAACCGAGCTCATCAGTGGCGGGTCATTAAAATTTAATGAGCTTTCAAAACCAAACAAAAAGAAATGCTGAAAATTTGCAAATATTTGCAATTTAGCAGCTCGTTGTCACTTCCCATGGCGGATTCTCTCAGAGCTTTTCAACTGTTTGAAATGGTGTCAACTTAAGTGGCAGATTACGTATACGCAACGGCGGGCGTCAAATTAAAGCGACACTTTTTCAGCCAAAAGAGCTGCTCGTTAAATGGTTGCCATGGGAAATGGGAATGGGGAATTGGGAAAATACTTAATCGTATGTATAAGCGTGGCAATAAAGGAAGGGGATCGGGTGACAAGTAAAAGGAAACAAATATTGGGCTGAATATGTTGAAACGAGTTCTTTAAGTCAGATGATGAATAAATATTAAATAGAGTATTTGTTTTACATTTTAAATAATTAAATAAAGGTATTTTTACATTAAGAGCCAACAAAATTCATCATTTGTTGAAGATATCAACTGAAAATTAAGTCAATTTTCGTATCTAAAAAAATGCTAGACCACAAAATGTTATTTTAAAGAACTTGCATTATTTGTGCTACATTTAAATAATATTATTATAAAAACTTAAATAAGCTTATTCATTTAATTAACCTAATTATCAACCACTTATTTTCCCAGTTCATCAGCGGTGCCGGAGCTCCATCTATTTGATTAGTTTCCGGATAAAGTTTACTCCCCTTCCGTTCAGTCGGCCATCTTCCGTTCTATAGTTATTTCGCTTCCCTTTCGCCAAAGCCGGCCGCAAGTAATTTAAAACTGCTGCGCTCCAATTCGCGCTGGGCCTCAAAGTCATTTGGTTCTTTGTAGACTGTCACACAAGACCCACCCACGAGGCAACCGCGCACCACCTATAAAGCCACCGACATCCATCCCATTTGGGGTCTCTGCCGCTGCAGTAGCCTTTGATGTTGGGGCTGCGGCTTTTTGTTTGCATTCTCCTCTTCGGAGGCCTCAGTCTCAGGATCTCGGCCTCATCGAGTAACCCCAACATCAACGGCCCTCCGCCGGCTCTTATTTGTCTTCAATTAACATTGCAACATGCCACTTGTGCCACTTTTTCCCCTTTGTCTTCTTTGGTCTGCCATTTCATTCTGAGATATTTCCTTTGCGCTTTTCTTTTCTTTTCATTTCATTCCGTTTCCGCTTTGTTGCCGCCAGCTTATTTATTAGTTTTCCTCGCTCTCTGTGGGCGCATTTTTAATTTACAAGTCTTTCTGCGAGTGTAAGATGGCAGACTTCTTTGACAAGCAGCCGTGACGATGATGGCGGTGGCAATGGCGATGGCGATGGCCTAATGAAAGACTAAACTACAAAAGCATATTTCTGCCTTTTCAACTTTGCCGCTGGCATTCAGCACTGCGTTTTCATTCTTCCACTTTTTTTGTGAAAACTATGTCAAATGAAATATTATTTATTCGCTGGCACACTTTCCTCTACCTGCCTGGCACTCTGGGTAATTGACAAGTTCAGTTGCAGACTCTCGGGTCTCTGCTGTCCAATGTCCAATGGATTGGGAAAAAGTTGCCGCAAACGGTGTGAGGGAGTCTGGAGGAGAATTTCTGAAAAGTTACTGGGGATTTTAGCAGATTTTCCAGTATGGCAGTGAACGGAGAAATCGAGGTAATAAATTGACTTTGGGAAACTGTGTCAAATATGCCAAACGAGTTTTCATGTTTTGCTACAACATGCACAATTTGCATACATAGGACCAATATCAATAAGGGAATTGAGTACAGTAGGAATTTTATGAAATTCTTGAGCCGACTGAAGTTAAATTTAATTTTACCCTATAAGATGAATAAAAGAAAACTTAGCAAACCATTAATACAAATCTCTAGTTTGTTTAGAGCTGAGGAATTTACTTATTTTAAAATATCAATATGAATTTAACAATTAAATTATTTGTCTTTAATTCAGTAAAAAATATCCACCAAAACTAAATCATAAATAAAAAAAATTATTTGCGATGGTTTTTCATCCTTATATTAAATAAATTAAAACATTTTCAACCGAAGGTACTACGAAAGTACTACTACAATTAACTAATTTGCTATAAAAATGTACCACTGTAACCTGACAAGTGTCGAGAAATGGGCATTGAAATAAAATGGGCAGCTTCTACTCAAAAATAAAGGTCAGTCGACCACGGCTGTTCACCTTCAACTGCTTTCGCTTTCGCAGACGAATCCACAAAATATAAGCACATATATAAACCGAACGAAACGCTCAATCAATTACAGAATGGCCACAGAACAAGCATAATAAATTTGCAATTAAATGCTTAAATTGTGCAAATGGTTTCCCGATATGGTGACGCGCGGTCAGTTTTCGGTTTTCGGTGGTCCGGTGTTCCGGGCGCCCCTCAAACGACCGCATATCGCACATCTCGGGCGGCCAGATAAATGGGCGCTGTAAAAACAGCCATTTCTGGGTTACTGCGATGAATGGCGGGGGCGTAATTAATGCTTAATTATGCACATTAAAAGCCAAAAGCAGCCACGAAGCTGGCGGAAATTACTGCCAACCCAAGAACTCACGGTACGGCACGGCAAGGCAAAGCACGGCACGTAATATAAATGCATGCCACGTATGCCCCATAAATTTCAGTTAGCATTCGAATGAAAAGACATTGCGCATACGCCCATGGGCCCATGACCCTCGCAAATAAGAGTGTTTGCCAGGAAAATGGTCTTCAGTTTCTCGTCATATCATAATTGAAAATCGGCAACCTTGCTCGACCATAGCAACATAATACAATACACAGTATCTAAAAAGTGCAATCTGGCAGTTGGCCAAAAACGAATGCTGCTGCTGCTGCTGCCATGAGTCATGGCAAACTTTTCTCTCAGCTGGCGTATTGCTTTTTAATTGGCAGAAAAATATGCTCCGGGGAGAGGTATTAATAAATGTATAAATCCAACCAATATGACACACATTTCATTCAATTTATGACGCACAGCTGACACATTTTTCCCACACTATCTCCCACACACCCAAACACCCACACACACATTGACTTTTGTCAGGTTTTTCTCTGCGAAAAATGAATTACGAGTCGTCGCTTTTTTTTTGGGCGCTTGTTTTCGTTTGGCTGGATGCTCAATTTCCTGCGATTTCCGCCACGAAAAAATTTAATTATAGGCAATAAATTTGAATTTAATAGTCGAGGCATTAAGTCGCCGGCGGCGCAGGAATTGTCTCTCTCCTCGGCAAACAGAGGGAAAGAACTCGAAAAACCAAATAAGAGAATACAAGTACACATAAATAAGCCAAGAGAAGAAGGATTAACGCAGCAGCTGAACACGACAAGTGTTCAGGGGGGAAAAGGGGAGGGAAATGCGGAAAAGCCAGTGAAATGGGTGTGTCAGCACGTGTGCTGTTTGATGGAAAGCTTTATGTGTGGCTACGGTTATAGCCGATGCTTAAACGTTGAGCCTCGAGCAAGTCAGGTCTCAGAGCAGAAATTCATCAATGCTTAATTTTCCTGGGGGAAAACGGAATATCTTTCCGGTGTGAGGCAATTAATTCCAAATGAAATTTATAATTAACTCTAATATTTCCATTAATGATGATGAATTACTTTAATTGGAAAACAGAGCGGTTTGATTGATATCCACTCCAACCACTCATCTGCTCGTAAATTAGCCCATATTCCAGCCCTATTCTCACGCTACACATCCTATTTCAATCTATTGAGCAAGCCGCTAATTAAAAATTAATTTTTCCCACTCCCTGCGATTTTCTGTTATTTGCCTTTCTACTCACGCAGTGCACTTAATTATGTATGTCAAATTTAATTGGCTTGTCAGTCCAGGCAAATGTCCAAATCCGAAACGTCGACAGACACGCTATAAATACATTACAGCAATAAAAAAAACACTGAGCCACAGGAAAATATAATAGAAGCCCACACCTGGCGTATACGTAATGAATGCGAATTATCTCCATAGCTTTATGGACACGCAAATATCATTTTACGCTAAATAAATATTTGCATTTTACCTAATTTTAGCTGGCTCACATGTAGCGTGTGCGCAGCATCAAAATTTTAAAGCCGAATGAGAACCAAATCTCTGACATTGTCACATGTCAGAGGCTGCAGAAACCTTAAGACACATCCTGGGATGAACACACCACCCTCTGTGACATTACGCATACGCCACATATGCTGGATGCAGAATGCTGAATTTCTCATGCGCTCAATAAGCCCAAGGAAATGGAATGAGCGACTGCAGTTGCAGCTGCAAATGCGACTGCCTGTTAATAGTAATTTCTGTCATATTTGCCAGTGGAACTTGCAGTCACGACTCCCGATAAAATGTCAACTTGACGTTGCCTGTGATGTGGTAACCTAGATTTCGTTAAGGCACTAGCATCAACACTGAGTACGTGGGGGATTTCCCGGGCTCCACCAACTGCACCTCCTACTTTTGTTCTTTAGGCAACCACAGACTAGCAGAGAATAACAAGTCTTGAAGGTTCTGTGAAATGGGATTCTATAATATCGCCATCAGTATTGTGCTAAAAGATGGTTTCATAATAAATGTGGAAACTTTATTTTTAGGAAAATGTATTTTATGTTCATTAGGAAAAAATATTTAAAAATTAAAATTAAGTTCTATTGACCATAGATAATAAGATACAAAGTATAGAAAACTAATAAGTCTAGATGCCTAGTACATTTTCTCCCATTCTTACTTAATATTTCCAAGAACCCTTCAGCAATTCCCCCAGTGTGTGGTTTCATTGTCAGCTTTCTACGTTGTCCTTTTAAGTTTAATGGCTGTTGGGTTGAAGGATTTTTAGTTGCAGTTTGTGGCTGGCCCTCAGCTTTATCTGTGTTAATTAATGCGTGCAGCTACATGACGGGATTAGGCCAAGATGTGCCTGGGCCAGAAGCCATCAGCCATCAGCTGGCCAATTATGTCGGCAAACAAGC